AAGTGTTTGAAATACCATTTCGCCATTTTCTTCCGGCATGCTTTTCAGTGGCGTCTTCTGGTGTGAAGATTGTATACTCATCTCCATTACTGGCTAAAATAAATAATTATCAAGTATTTTACACACACGTCTCCGCTGCAGTGTGTGGAAAATGGTTCTACGTTCAAAAACCAAAAATCCACCCAAAGGTTCAAAGTACATGTGCTCTCAAAAATATTAATTTATTGTTAATATGGTAGCACACACATTTCAATTGTTGTAAATCTTATGACTTAGAACCGTTTGAGAGATGGAATTAAAAAATCATCCAAAAACACATTGGAAATGAGCCTTGCTTCGTTTCGTTTAGTTTTTTGTATGTTTTGGTGCATGAAAATGTGTTTAAAATTGTGTGGAGATTGATTACTTCTAGCATTGTATCAGTATTCTAAAAAGACAGTATTTTAAAATGTTCGTCACTAAACTTCGTCATCCAGAACTTGCCGGATTTGAAAATCCTCTAGATTCTCTTGTGGAATGAGTCGCAGTTTCATGTCGTTGGCCAAATGGAGAACCGCATAGAGGGCCACCGATGGGGACAGAGAATCTTTCATTTTGTCACTCAAGACATCAGGCAAGGATCGGTAAACCTCCTGGAAGCTGGCGGTACCCTTCGCGTAGCTTTCTTCCTTTGGCACTGAAGGGGAGGGTACCGATGTCTCATCGACAGGATTCAGGAGCTGTTTCTGGATCAAAGAATGGCAGCTTTTCTTGAGATTCTTCATGTCGATCACCTTGGCACGCTTCGCAAATGGCACAATTACTTTGGTGACCTGAAAAAGAACCAAATAAATGATATTTTAGACACCCTTGGGAATAGTATGTCCCTCAAAGACCCACCTGCCTTGGTGCATCCTTAAATTCGGTGGATATCTCCAAGATTGTATCGTCATCCTCATGGATGCTTTGGCTTTGATTGAGCCTATCCTCACATGAATCCTCATTCATCATGTCCATGGTATTTTCAATGCCCGCTGCCGACATTCGGTTCATGACAGGATCATCTGTGGTGAAATGTTCGTTGTCAGAGAGCTCTATGTGGGCATCGTCGTGGTGGGAGCCCCCATCCATATCCGTATCATTTTCCAGTCCCTCAACCAGATCGGCTTCTCCAAAACTCTGGCTAACTTTAATACCCGGCGCCGAGTCGTATTTTAAAGAGTAATCCGCTTCAAAGCTGAATTTTGTGGGCCGCACCACCTTTCGGGCATCCCATTTCTTTTCATTGACCTTTCGCGGTTTTTTTTTTGTTAGCATTGAGGGGCTGGAATAACTCCTTGTTGAACTTTCCATAGTGCAGATTCTTCATGCGTCGTTTGGAGGTGGCTGCCGCCGTTTTCTTTGGTTTAGCAGCCATAGGTCCATTCGTCTCGGCCAGAGTGGTGAGCGGACGAGTGCGCCTGATTTTCCAATGCGCTGGACCCGCCCAAAACTGTGAGATCCTATCCATGGGCCTGTAAGAGTAGTCCAGGCTAGTCACACCATCCACTGGCCTCAGATCGTCAATGACCCCGGCCGTTTTGCTCAAACGCGTCTGCTCCTCGGCGGTGAGATCCTGCAAATCATTCGATTGTATATCTATGATAATGGGTGGACTTGCCTCCATATCCGGCATGGGCTCACACTCGGCATTCATGTCAAATGCTACGGATATATCTGTGGGATTCACACCGAAGTCGTCCGCATTATCCAGCCCCTCAGCAGCGTCATTACATGTGGGGGCCGCCTCTGAAATAGATCCCGACTGTGGCTTGGGATTGGGAGCACTGCTTATCACGTAGCCCGTGTGGAGTGGCCGCAGTTTTAGTTTGTCCATATGGTTGTACAGCTTAGGCAGCCATTCCGCATTGCACAACTCTTCATTGGCCCACTCCTTGGTGCCAGCACTCAGCGTTTCGCTGTCCATGAGCTCATCCGTCTCCTCCGTCGAATCCCAGAATTTGTGGGTCGTGCGTATCCGCATTTCAGAGTCCACGCTGGGCAGAATGTTGTGCATCTGGCGATTGGAGGCATTGATGGAAGCCACCGTCGAATTGAGCTTCCCAAAAACCGCATCCTGCATGGGCACCATGTCCAAACGCGCATTCAATGTTTCCTTGTTCTTTGTCACCGTTGATAAATTCCTTTTCTGGCGCTTGAGCTTAGGTGCCGCCTGCTGCTGTTGACTGGGAGCCGCATCGGCACCTTCGCCATCACCTCCAGGTCCCTCAGGTAAGCCCGTCAAGAGGCGACCATTCAAACCCGCCGATATACGCAATGCATCTTTGTAGATTGAGTCTACGCGCAGGTCGTAGACCTTGGCCGAGGCCTCCAGCGAATAGCCAGCCATCTGTGAAGGTAGAAAAGGTTAGAAAGGGTTAGGAGCTCTCCATATTGGCCGAAGGGATAAAACGCACCTTGAAATTGTTCAGCTGTTTGTGATGGCGATCCATTAGATTGGCTAGTGTATCAATCAACGACGTATCCCAGGCATTGTCTTTGCTCAGCTTATTGCAGTTGTACAGATCCACGCAGGAGCGTATCGTCTCGTTCTCCTCGATGGACTCGAGAGCTGAACTCTTGCGAGTGTCCTGCTGAACCAGCGGTGTGCGCCGGCGTGCCTCCTGCCGCTCGGCCTCGTCGTTTTTGCGGTAGCTGCCCACCGCAGATCGACGCAGAGGGGTCTCCGAGTGTGGCGACGTCATTGGAATGCTTGGGTGTGTGTAGTTACGGGTTAGGGTAGTTTTTCTCCTGATTTTTACTATTTTCGTATTGGTAATTTACAGTTTCCTAGAGTGGACGCCGAATTCTAGGCAGGGCTGCAACCGCAATATAAACAAACGAAAAATATAGTTCTAAGATGCCACAATATCGGTTTGCACGCTTAACTTATGAATATTAATTTTTTTCCAATTTGAATGTTCCAGCTCAATGATTTAAACAAAGTGAATATCAAAAATTATTTTTACTGTCACACAATTTGTTAAAGGGCCAACGATAGTTTTGATAACAGTTCAAGGTATCGATATTTGTATTTTTTACATCTCTGCCGCCGTACATGTCGGCAAAAAAGCTAAAATATGAAGAAGAAGAAGAGATTAACAGATGTGCGAGGTTGTTGATAGGGAAATGGGAAAAGAAAAATGAAAAGTTTCCAAGGACAACATGAAGCATCTATCGGCCAGTAGTAATGGTTATGATGGGCGTCATCTAGCGTGCGCCGTCTGCTGTAGGAGTGCCATATTGACCATGTATCGGGTATAAATATAGAGTTCGTAGGGTCGCAGCAGCAACTCACAATGTTCCCCTCGATTTTTTTATACCCGATACTCAATATGAGTCTATACTTCCCACAACTATCAACATCACCAGGCTTTTCCTTAGAACTAACATAAAACTATCCACACAAACATCGCCAGGACTATCCATAGAACTCGTCGGACAGAACTCTCCCCTCCAACTCTTCGAAGAGTCTCTAGAAATATACCTGAAATCTCCTGAGAGCACTACCCCTAGAACCTTCCTTCAGTTTCAAAATATTAGTTCTGGTTCGTTCGAAAATTTTGAGTAATTTTCAGTAACAAAAAAAAGAAATTAAAAATCTGAAATAGTTCAGATCCTGTTATCCTTAAATTTTTTGGGCTCCTCCCACAAGGAAAACGAACTCCAAGAAGGAGGATAAGCCAGAGGAGAAACGGGGGAGTTCAAAAGACAGCGGCGATACGAAAAGGAAACCTAAGCCGGATGTGCCCAAAGTTGACGATAAAATTAAGGATAAGGATCCAGAGACGCTCTACGATGTCAAGGTAAATCTCCTAATCAGCGATTTTAGAAAACACAATGGGTTTGTTTGGGTGGATAGACAACTGCGTTTCATGGTAGAACCAAAAGGAATTTTGATAGAACCTCAGGTATTCAGGGCAGAAGAACCTCAGAGATTTCAGCAACAGCCACAGACGGAAACCTTCTACGATGCTGCCACCTTTCCACACGTTCGATTCTTAAGTAGAGCTCCAACAACGGGCAGGCCCCTCATGCTTATCCATCATATCTCGAGACGACAGGATCTTTCAATAGCAAAAAATACTTTAATGAAGAAAATAGGTCTGAAAGTCCATTACAATCCTATAGAGACCAATTCCCAAGACAGAAAGAGAACGCGCTCAAGGTATCGAAACAGAAGGAGCAGCAGATCGAGCAACAAAACACTGATGGCACCCCGGCGAATCAGTGGAAACCAGAGACCTCCGAAGAACTGTGATAACAAGCCGCCATTGTGACATGACCTTTCTTATGGAGTGCATTCGTCGGGAGCTGCGCGGTGCAAACGACTATCTGGAGGGTGAAATAGTGCGCTACAAGAAATTTGCCAGCCTACACAGATGCGGCGCTCCCGAATACAAGGAGAAAATGCTCGGAGGGGATCATAGTGCGAAGAGGACATACCTGTTGCTCAATATGGAAGATGATTTGACCAAATTATTTTCCTTTTCAGAGGGAAATAAAGATGACAATTTATAAGATTTATCCGATTAATAGCTAATTTAAAAGATTTTATAATAAAATTAATATTTAGAGCGCACTTAGAAAATCTTTGGGGAATATATAAATATATCCGATACTCAAAATGAGTCCAGGGCTATATTAGATGTGTGTAACGTCGAAAAGGAAGCGATTGTAACAGCATAGAGTACTAATATCATTGATCAGCATCAATAGCCGAGTCGATAGAGCCATATCCGTCCGTCCGTCTCTACGTCCCTATGAGCGCCTAGATCTCAGAGCCTATAACAGCCTGTAGCTCTACACTCCTGTTAGATCTAACTTTTACAAGTGTATTTCAAAATTTCGCCATTTTGCATTTAAAATAAATAATAATAAAATAAATAATTTCAAGTATGTCACACAAACGTCTCCGCTGCAGTGGGTGGAAATAGTTCTATGTTCAAAAACCCAAAAAAGGTTCAAAGTACATATGCTCTCAAAAATATTAATTTATTGTTAATGCGGACTTAGGACTTAGAACGGGGTACCCCTTGAGAGATGGAATTGAAAAATTATCCAAAAATACATTGGAGATGAGCCTTGCTTCGTTTCTTTTAGTGTTTTGTATGTTTTGGTGCATGAAAAGGTGTTTAAAATTGTGTGGAGATTGATTACTTCTAAACTTCTAAACTTCGTCATCCAGAACTTGCCGGATTTGAAAATCCTCTAGATTCTCTTGAGGAATGAGTCGCAGTTTCATGTCGTTGGCCAAATGGAGAACCGCGTAGAGGGCCACCGATGGGGACAGAGAATCTTTCATCTTGTCACTCAAGACATAAGGCAAGGATCGGTAAACCTCCTGGAAGCTGGCGGTACCCTTCGCGTAGCTTTCTTCCTTTGGCACTGAGTGGGAGGGTACCGATGTCTCATCGACAGGATTCAGGAGCTGTTTCTGGATCAAAGAATGGCAGCATTTCTTGAGATTCTTCATGTCCATCACCTTGGCACGCTTCGCAAATGGCACAATTACTTTGGTGACCTGAAAAAGAACCAAATAAATGATATTTTAGACACCCTTGGGAATAGTATGTCCCTCAAAGACCCACCTGTCTTGGTGCATCCTTAAATTCGGTGGATATCTCCAAGATTGTATCGTCATCCTCATGGATGCTTTGGCTTTGATTGAGCATTTCCTCACATGAATCCTCATTCATCATGTCCATGGGATTTTCAATGCCCGCTGTTCGTTGTCAAAAAGCTGTATTTCCTAATCGTCGTGGTGGGAGCCTCCATCCATATCCATATTATTGCCTAGACCCTCAACCAGATCGGCTTCGCCAAACCTCTGGCTAAATGTTATACTCTCTGCCGAATCGTATTTGACAAAGTAATCCGTTTCAAAGTTGAGTTTCGTGGGCAGTATCAGCTTTATAGTTTTTCTATAACAAATTTTCTCCTGATTTTTACTACTTTCGTATTGGTTATTTACAGTTTTTTGAGAGGACGCCGAATTCTAGGGATGGAGATAGCCACAGTTACACGCGCAGGGCTGCACCGCAAAATAAATAAACGAATATAATAGTTAAAAAATGCCACAATATCGGTTTGCACACTCGAATTATGAATATTAAATGTTTTTCCAATTTGAATGTTACAGCTCAATGATTTAAACAAAGTGATTATCAATAATTATTTGTATTGTCACACAATTTGTCAAAGGGCCAACGATAGTTTCGGTAACTCTGCAAGGTATCGATATTTGTATTTGTTACAACTCTGGAGCCGTTGAAGAAGAAGAGATGAAACGGATTTACAAAGCGTTTGATATGGAAATCGGAAAATATGAAAAAATTCCACAGAAAACAGGCAGCATCTAGCGGCCAGTAGTAATGGTTATTATGGGCGTCATCTAGCGGACAGCTTTGCAGCGAACATGTTCCGTAACATTTGGTTAATTATGTTGAGACAAAATTTGTTTGTAGGTAGTTTTACATCTTACATTACGTGTACAATGTGGTGTAAAATTTGCGTAAAAGCTGTGTAAAATCTGTAAAATGACTGTAAAAATGTTCATACAAATAATGCAAAATGTGTCTAAAAGTGTATAATAGGTGAGATTGATCCGTCTTTGATTGCAATTTTCTTTTTAATAATAATCTCTTCAGCGGACTCCTATAGATGTTGTGATGGTTATAGAATATACTTGAAATTTATAAAATTAGACGGATAGAAAACAGTCAAAAATATATTCCCTGGCAATGGATAATTCCGCAATAAACTAATTGCCAATCTACAGCCCACTGGGGCGTGATTTGTATCTTTAAGCTGTAAACTTATTTTTCCAAAACTTTTTAAGACCCCACCCACTCTCAAATTTCATTGCCGAAACGAAGACGTAGCCGTAGGTAACCTTAAACCACCTATGGAAAACACTCAACGCAGACCCCGAGTATCAATTAAACACTTGAGGATAGAGGGCCCACAGCCACACTGCTCTGCGCTTGACTGCTCAATTAGCCAAAACTCTCATCAGGCAAGAGGCAGCAGAAACAGCAGCAGCAATAGCCACATCTTCAAGTAATCAATCGACAGGAAAGGTGTGAAAAAATCACCAACGAAACGAAGCTTTAATTGAAAACCTATCTGCCCCACACAGATTGTGCCATGGGGAGGTGGAAAGGCAGCATCTTGTGGGTCGTTAACTATGATTTGCAATCCGTGCAACAGGCAACAGGCAGCAGAGGCCTGTGTGCCTGGCTACGTGTTGCCTCCTGCTGCCACTTCTGCTGCTGGATGGTAGGGGAGGGCCTTTCGATAATGATAATTTCGCATGAGGTTCTTCTTCCTTTTTGGGATACGGTTGTAAAATTTTATCGCCAAAACATGACGGGCAAATCAATTTTTATTATTTTATCATCCATCGACGCCTGCTTAAAGGTGCTTAAAACCCTCTAAGCCCCCTCTGCTGCTCCTCTGCTGAGGAATCAGAATCATCATCCGATGGATCTATCTTTCTACCATCCATCCGTGGAATCTATCTTTAGCCTTCCATCTCTAGCTTTACTCCAACCGCAGAATCTATCTCATAACTAAGGAGGCAATCATCATCTTACCAACGCCGACAATCGACATCCCAGCAGCACCATCCTCTCGGAATGAAGACTCAAAACAGAACAATAGATGTATCTACCAAATGGGGTGGGGGCGGGGGCTGTGGGGGAAGGGGTGCCCACAACAATGCGCTAAATCATTATCAGTAATTATGCATTGTGTTGCGGCCACGCTCTCGCTCTCGCTCTCTCTCTCTCTCTCCCTCCCTCTCTCTCTGACAATGAAAAACTCCTGGCCCCCTGCCTCCCTCCTGCCACTCCACTCGAGGGAGGAGGACTCATGGATACCCAATGCACTAGGGAGGGCTTGTACCTTTTCTGTTTCGTTCGCTTTTTGGATTGCGCTTTTGATTGATTTCGTTGATTGCAGTTGGCCTTGAGCCCCGTGCCCGTGCCCGTGCCAGATCCCTTGTGGTTTATTAATAGCCCCATTCTCATCCTCATCCTCCCACTAGTATTCTTTTGTAGCTTCGTATCTGAGGGATTTATTTCTATCCATCCTCTAAAAGTTCTCTCTTTCGGCAAACACCTGAGAGACGAGTGGTAGCTGCTTTTGTGCGAAATTTATTGGCTGTGTGCAAACATTTTGTGCAATTAACTGCCTGCTAATGCGATTTACAGATACGCCGAATAAACACCAAGTCGACTGGCTTAGGCGTTGCCTCTTGTTTGGTCAGTAATTTCCACAATTGGAGACGATAGAGCAGCCACAACTGAAGGGAAATGCAGGCAAAAGAGGAGGAAGCAAGGCAGCCCAAAACTGAAGAGAAATCAGGCTTAAACTGAGGGGGAAAGTGAGAGAAACTGAAGGGAAATGCAGCCCAAAATGGCAGGGAGAAGTGGGAGTAGCCGAGAGGATATTGGGACCCACAAACTGAACGAGAGATTGAAGGTAAATGCAGTGCAGCCTCATAAATCACTCAACGCTTGCCTTCCAATGATGGTTGGTGTATTTGCTAAACGGGTGCCACACGGGTCCATGCTCGAAAATGGTAGAAAGGAGCATCAGTGGTGGACAGGACAGGGGTGCTGCAAAGGCACAGAGAAGGACAGCAGCAGCGGCTGTCCCTAATCTATAAGTGGGGGCTCCCTCGAAAGAGGATGATGGCCAAAGAGGTTCACAAAAGGTGAGACCTGCTCTCCACATGGGTTGATACGAGAGTTACGAGTGAAGGGAGAGAGTAAAGGGAGAAGAAGTGAACAATTTGGAAACTAGTGGAAAGCCGTCGATGGAATGTTAAAATGTTAGATTTGATGAAAAATAAGGGATATTTCCACCTGAAACTCCTAGATCCAACCCTCGGAAAGGCTCAAAAATTGCACAAAGGTTCTGCCGCCTGCCTCCTCCACTGCTGCCTCTCCCAACAGTTGCCGATGTTCGTTTCGTTGGGTAATAAATTAAGTCTGCATTTGGCTATTTTTGTGGTCATTAGGCGCGACTGCAGTTTGTCTGTTTTTGGTTCTACCACTCGTACACCTACTCCTACCCTTCTTCTGCGATTCTTCTGCCAGTCGACAAGTCTCTTTCCACATAGAAGTTTTTAATGAAATGTAGTCTCTTGGTCTTAAAAGTTATACTCTGTGTGCAACGCAACGCAATGCAACGCAAGAGGTAAACCATCATCTTTTAATGTGGCAATGGCAAATGGCATTATGAGTTATGTGTCTGTGTCTCGTGTCTCTCTGTGGTTCCTTCCAAGTGGAAGATGGCTTAATTTCTGGCTCTGTGGCTGTGTGGCTCTGTGGCACTTCAGACTCCTCTTCAGAGTGTGTGCTACAGTTCAATTAACATAATTAATGTGCGCTCCACGCCACAACACTCCACCCGTTGCGTCTCGGGTCTCTCTCTGGTGATTCTTGGAAAGCTCTCCCTCTGGGAGACTTTCGTATCAACCTCTCGTGCCTCTGACTTTTTCTGCTTTAATGAACGATTAACTGGAGCTTATTTTTAATGATTGAGAGGTTAACCTTTTGGCCTATCTCCAAGGCTGACTTTTAACAGATTTTTGTTAAACAAAATTCTAATTGTTTTAATCATTTTGATAAAAATAAATATAATTGTACGGAGGAAATTCTCACAGTTTTTGAGTGTTACTTCTGGTTTTTACACCTTTTTTTAAGTTTTATTACAACGTGAGCTTGAACTTTTTTAATGACTTCATTTCAAGGTCGAGTAAATAATGTATGATATGATTCAAAAGTAATTCTGAATCTTGGGAAAACCCTAACCATTGTCTTGGTTTAATGAGATTTTATCTCACATTTTCATTATGTTTTTTATGTAATTTTAAAGATTTTTCTATTAATGAAACAATTTTACAACTCTAACTAAAGGGAACTATAGAATGATAATGCTACAAAAATGTTAGTTTTTTTTTATTAGATGAACATACATATCGAGTATTTTGCTCACCTTTCATGACTATACTGCATATATATCGTATTCCCAATCCACTTGATAGTTTTCCTCACTTTTAAGCAAAGTTTTGGCTAAGAAAACGCCAAAAACCGACTTAAAGTTTGATTGATTCGAATACAGTATATCCCACAGCTTATTTATAAACTTTACAGTCAATCAAAATCAATTTTTAGTTCGGAAAACTTTTGTTTTCGCCACTGAAGGCTAATGCGATGGTTATAAAGTTTTTCTTTTCTTGGGAGAAGTTTTTTGAATGCTTCATTGCCAGAGGACACTGTTGCTGGTGTAGCTCTATTTGCCACAGGACTCCTCTGTCTGCTCCTCTAGATCTCCGTTTACTGCTCCTCGAAAGCGACAGTTTGAGGATACATGGGATATGCTTATGTGCCATTAGGTGGGCATATTAAATGACTTCTTGGCAGAAGGGCAAACATCCAGGGACAGGGTTTAGGCTATGGTTTATATTTCAGGCCATTTGGCAGCATAGAATTTCAGGCTGCACTCAAAAACAATTTCAGATTGCACTCGAAAGTGTTTTGGGGGGTCGCTTAATGTTCGCTTAAAAAGGTGTTGACGGGAGCGCATAAGCAGCAGCCAAGCAGCCAAGCGGACATGTGTGAAATATGATATGCTCATTAGGGAGCCCCTGACACGCCCCTAAATAAACCAAGAACCCAGAGGCCCGCCCATGGCGGCGTCGCCTTCTCTCTCTGGTAAGTCAAGTGCATAAATAAATGCCTGGCATTTGCCTCTGCCTCTACGCTGCTGTTCATCTGATGGGGGAAAAAAGGATGGGGCAAGATGTGAGAGATGATGATGGCAATGCAGCAGGCAGCAGGCAGCGTTAAGCGGTTGAAAGCAAAACGCACACCTGCCACCCGTTTATGGCCCCGTTTTTGTGATATATCATCCGGTTGCCAGGCAAGGCAGCATCTCACGTACAGGAGGAGCAAGGACACCTGACTACGCCACCACCCACCACCCCCGTTTCAGAAATGTAAAGCAGTGGGCCAACAGAATCTCTGGCTAAGAAGCCAAGTCAAGTCAGTCAACTGGTTTCTCATTTCGCATGCACGTCGCATCTTGTGGATACACTCAGGCTCATGGAGTCGTAACTCAAGGGAGAGAACATCTTTGATTACCAAGATCAAATGGATGGATGGCAAAGAAGACAAGAAAGTGGAAAATAGTGGGCTGCGAAAGCAACGAAAAGAGTATTCAGCATTCCCTTTATATTGGCCCAAGTTGGGGTTCCAGTTTTTCTCGTTATACGCGCATTGTTTTAGTTGAAGTTCAGTGCGTGGTCAATCGGCATAATAAATCATTATAACGCCCACCAGAACCCATAAAAAACTCTGCCTCTCGCGATCACCGATTAAGTCATCATCAACGAAAGCCACAAGCCACAGACACAGATACAGACACAGATACAGACACAGACACAGAAGAGACTCTGCAATGGAAACAATGCGTCGTCGGAGTCGTCGTCGTCGTCGTCATCGTGTGGCGTGCCCAAAAGTAGCCCTGGGGTCAGGGTCGGGGTTCGGGGTTCGTCTCTGGCTGGGGCTCGGGCTTTACAGCGCCTTTGGGCCACAGATTATTTAAAAACCAATAGAGATTTCATCTGTTTGACTTGGCAATAAAGTCATTTAGAATGTAAACATCGCCTCGTGAAATGAGTAAAGATCCATTATGACAGCAGCAGAACCAACAAAAGCTTAAGCTTAAGAGGAGTTATCAACTGCGAGAAATGGAGTTTTACTTTGGCTGTGACCTACTACTGGAGCTGCAGCGCTCCAAAGAGGATTTTCCTGCAGTTTGAGTTATTAAATAATACTTGGAAAAGGTGTTACCCTTTGATGAAATCTGAACTGACAAAAAACTGTACCTCTTTTTCGCATTTGAAGAATTTTCAACTAAATTTTAGTCGATGGTTTAGTTGTTGGAATTCGTAAAAATCGTATTAATTTTATTATTAATTACTTTAAATAATTCAGTAAATAAATAAATTATTTTTAAATATTTTCCAAATCTTTGCATTCTAACAAAATGAAAGAAAATAATTTGTTCATTTGAAAATTAGTCAAATATCATACGATTGTGTGCCCTTCAAAAGCTGGACTTTTTTTGTGTATTTTTTCTCCCATTTTCAGTTTTAATCCCCCTGAGAAAATGATGTTCTGTTTGCATTTACTTCATTCCCAAGCGCTTTTCTAGAAAATCTGTTCATAGAGCATTAAAATGCAAAGGAAATCTCTGTAACAAGTTGCGGCAGAATAAATGTCTAGTATTTTGTCATGTGTCCACACACTAAGCGTCCCTACGCAATGCTTTCCATTCATGGTTCTTGCCTTAAAGTAAGGAGAAGCCTTTCTTTTTTCCTGCCTTCAGGCACCTGTTTCCCCCACCCACAGCCCGAGTACTTTTAATATTATTTACATCTCAATCTGAATGCAAGCCCCAATAATCACAATATTTATTTCATTCGCTCCCTCTCTCTCTCTCTGTCTCTCTCTTTCTCCGGCGGCGGTGGCGACGGCTTCCGCTCTTCAATAAAGGAAACAGCATTACTCTTCAAATGCAAAATGCAAATCAATTGAAAATACAAATAGAAAAGCTCCAAAGGAAAAGTGGTCGAAAGGAAGGTACAAAAAATAAACTAAAACTTGTAATAAATAAAAAAATCAAGCACCGTTAACGGCAACAACAAATACACCCACAGGGACTTTATTTACGGAGGTTTTAGCCAGAAGAGAGAGGGAGTTAGAGCCAGAGTTTAAGGCAGAGTTAGAGCTAAAGTTACAGTCGTAGTCGCAGTCGGAGTTGGAGCCAGAGACCGAGCCAAAGTTAGAGCCAGCGTTAGAGCGCCCAGGGTTTGTCTTGCTTTTGGTGTGAATTTATTGCTTAATCATGCGGGTTTTTTTGTATATTTATTTTTGCTGAAAAGTAAATAGCAGGGAAATGCCAGCTGTGGAAACTGAAGCTTTAGATACTCTAAGAGAGCCATTTTTACATCCATTAAATATTGATGTTCTTTCAACGGATAGCCAAAATTATCAGAAAATACTAGAAAAAATACGGGTTAAAATAAATAAATCAATAAAAATACAAAACAATTTAAAAAAAAAATGTTTAAGAGTAGAAACCGTTATGAAGAAAGTACCAGAAAATACGCTTGGAAAAATACTGTAGAAATATACTACATATATTAAACATACTAGAAAATGCTATACAAAATAAATACCGAAAAGATGTTAGATACATACTCTAAAATACCAGAAAATAAGATATATAAATAATCACGTAATATTACTATAAAAATACTGAAAAAAAACTACCAGCAAAATGAATTTATTTTAAAAAATCCAGAAATTACTAGGAAAAAATAAAGATAATTCTAAAACTAGTACGAAAAATACCCAACAAATTCTAAAAATTGCTGTAAGAAATGCCAGAAATTACTAGTCACGATATCATCTCTTTTGAGTAATTAAGCTCTTCCTTTCTGAGCGTTGCAAACATTTTACCCAAATCATACTACCCTCCCACCAAAATAGGTTACAAAGCGGGTTAAAATGCAAATAAATCCGGCAGAAATCCAGGTCCAGGTCTCAGTTCAGGTCTCGCTGCTCTCTGGTTGAACTCCAGCTTCAGTTGCTCTTTTTTTTGTGGGGTCTCTAACAAGGTGTAGTGCTTGTCTAACTGGACGTTCCTCTGGCGTTACTATTCTGTGCCGCTCTCCGTAGTATGTTTTCTGTTCCCTTCTTATGTAGGCGTTTTGGCGTGGTTGTGGCTCTGGCTGTGGCGGGGGTCAGACCCCCAGTAGCATACTCAAATTTGTTGCAGCAACAACGTGGTTTTTGCCGTTTGTTTTATGTGTGTGGGCGACAGACGCAACTGGTAAATGCAGCAATTAATATGAGGCGCACATGCAGCAGCCAGCAACAGCACAGCAGCAGCACCGAAGCAGCACAGCAACAGCTTGCCCACCCACACAGCACACACAGCGAAGCTCCCATCGAACTGCAACATGTTTGCCTCAAACAGATACAGTCCGTATCTCAATCTACAGCGAACGGAACCTCAAGCTTTGGTTCGTCCGCTCACTCGAAAAACGAGTTTCGCCGCGTGCGGATTGTCGTCTCTGTGGCTTTCGTAAAACAAAAAAATACTGCTACTGGTAGCAGTGCTACTGCAATTCCTACATCAATTATCTCTTTGAACAAAATAACGCACCATTAAACAAATGCAAAGCAACAAAAATTTGTGTACAAAATTGTGTAAAAGTGTAAAAAAAAACATAATATTGTTTGTCGTAACTACAAATAGCGGTCTATGGTTTGTTTTGAAGCTATGGGTAAACCCAACATTAACCGCAACAACATTAAATTTGTGTTATTTTTAAGCCCATAATTTATGGAAATTATCAGCAAAAAATATATATATTTCTTTTGAAGTCTCTACAAAATACAAGAGTATTTATTTCCCTCCCTCAAGTACGTGTAAAGTGAGTGTAAAAGTGAGTGCTCCAATTGGTTTATAGAACGTGCAAAGAAAACGGTTAATACCCGAAGCAAACAACACACAAGAAATCTAACAAATAGATGAAGCCCACATTAAAATGAAGTTAAAATTGCCCCCGAGCACAGCCTGCATGCTAATGGAGCTGTAAACAAAGCCCCAGACCAGCCACAGAATATTGTGAGTAACTTTTAACTGCTTTGTCGGTTAGTGGGTTCGAAAAGGGTGGAGACTGTGTGCTACCAGATGTTGCAGAAGAACTGGGTTCAATTCTGGGGAAGGTGTGAGAAATATTATAATTTCTGCAGCTGCAATTGTGATAATTGATGCTTCGGGCATTCGTATTTACATTTAGATATATCACTAGCTAAACGCTGACGGAAATCTATGATGGACATTTCAAATTAGTGCTTCAAATATTTGGTATATTTCTAGAATTCGTGTTTATTTAATTTCGTCTCTTTTTTGAGCATTTTTTCCCACGAAAGTTCTTTAGGCAGTGTTTTTCTGTTTGAGTTTTATTCTTGTCACACGAAAAACTTCTTAGGTGAAAAAGTTTCTGCACCAATAAAAAAGCTGTACAAATTGTAAGCTGATATATGAAGTGGGTGAGAAGAAGAAAATAAATGGGATAGGATGGCCTTTAAAAGGAGAGAATAAGAAGGCGCAAAGAGATTTAGATATTTTAATATTTATTTAAATATTTAAGTACAAAAAATATAATAAAACATAAAAATAAAAAAAGCATAAAAAACCTAAAAATATAAGTATACCAGTAAATAATAAAACAAATACAATCAAAAATTCAATAGAAATATTAGATATATTTCAGAATAATACTATATAAATACCAGAAAATGACCACATAAATATATAAGAAAATACTAAAATAAATAGCACAAAAAATGCTATACAAACATAATGTAAATTCCAGAATAATATTAGAATAAATACCAGATATTACCGCATAGGTACCATACCAGAAAAATCTAAAATACTAGAAAAAACCAGAACATGCATATTCTTATAGATAAATTCAAGAAGATTTCTGATATATTATAAGAAATAAAATATGTATGTGTTGTAAAATTGTAACAAATTTTTGGATAACACCAGAAAAAATACTCAAAAAATAGTAAAACATAAAAAAATTGCTGAAATAAGATAAGAGGTTGAAGCTAAGCCCCTTGAAATCCGAATGGTGTTGAAAAGTAGTACCATTTCTAATATATTGCAACCCGTTTTAGCCGTTAGGATTCCAGTTTTGGGATTCTGTTGAATTCTGTCTCTAGAGTTCCTTGACTGGAAGTAATATTTCATGGTTTGCTCATTTGCTCTGCAGCTTTTGTTCTCCACACACACGGGCGATGATTGGGGGTACTGGGGGTATGTGTCGAAATAATTTCACTTGACAGTTGGCTAATAAACTTGCCTACTTCATGGCCCTCACACTGCTCAGATCTGGGGGAGCCAGAGAGCTCTTCAACGCCTCATTACTCATGCTAAATCTTCTGGCACTTTACACCTTCGTATAATGCAAAGGTTGTCAACTTTTGGTAGAGAGTGTGTTGCATGAGTGTCTGTGCTCTTTAAGCCTTATGCAACAGCTCAAATTAGCCATGCAATTTGTACTTAACTATTTACAGCGCACCAGAGTGTGCTGCCCCAGAGAAAGAGACAGAAACTGGGAAGTGGGATTGAGAGAGGGATTGGGGGGCAAATAGCTTCTTGAGTACTCTTTCTGTGCAGAGGCGTTTGGGGCCGTCCATCTGTGTGTGAGGGACGAGAATAATAAAATGGCAAAGGACTTAAAACGAGACGCGACAACAACGTGCGGATGGGATGGCGGACGTAGACAAGCGACAAGTTTATCACTTGTTAAGCCAAACGTCGGACAGGCGATGCTTCAGCAGCAACAGCAGCAGCAGCAGCCACAGCCACAGCTCTGGGTTCCAGCCATAGATGCAGTTCCATCTTCTGCTGAAGCAAGAGAGAATCAACTCTCAGCTCAGCCCCCATCTGCAGTCTCAGCTCTAGAATACGAATCAGCTCCATCTTCTGCTGCAGACTACGTCCAGACGATGTCTCGGCAAGTCGACGACGGCGACGACTGGCAGGCGGTGATGGGCGCGGCAGATAAGGCACTTGGCCAAACAGAATGTGGACTCGGCCAGAATGTGGAACCTAGAGATAGGTCGCGTGGATGGGATGGCTGGATGGATGCAATTTGCATGGGAGTCACACGAAAGTGAGTTACATTTAGGGTTGAAATACATACGGGAGGGCTACGAGGATATCCAAAGGGAATACACGAAAAGATGAAGGTTCAGATAGATGGGGATATCTGTTCGAATAGAAAAGGGGATATGGCAGATGACGTCTGGGAATTAAAATGGAAATAATGTGGATATCTAAAGAGAAAGATTATGGATTCCTGCGAACGACTGTCAATGGAATTCTAGTACTTTTTTAGGAAGTACAGAAAAATACTAGAATAATACTAGAAGAATAGTTTTAAAATATTAGAAAAATAAAATTAAAATTCTAAAAATATACATTTTAAAAACACCTATATAATACTAACAAAATATTACAAAATACTAGAAAAATAATTAACTTTCTCTAAATATTAATTTTTTAAATATATGTATAAAACAAAAAATACTTAGAAATACTACAAAAAAATAGCTAAAATATATACTACAAGGAGGATTAAGAAATATTAGATAGAAGTAGAAAAATTACAGCAAAACAACTCTAATACTATAGCAAAAAAAATTGAAAAATAGTTAAAAAAAAATAACTAGAAAAATTCTGAAATATTAAATGGTACTAAAAAATAATAGTTTAAAAAACTTTAAAATAATCGAAATAATACGTTACAAAATTAAAAAAACTCTACTTTTTTTTCAATATGCCATATATCTAAAAAATATAAAGTAAAGATAAAAGCGAATAAAAGTGCTATCATAAAAAACAACAACACGAATGAGGAATTCCCTTGAGAAGGAATTCATGGAATAACTGCATGTGCATTATGGCGGTTAATGTTCCTTAATCTCATGCAGATACTTTTCTGTTTAAGTCGTGCTTACATCCATGTACTCCTCCTCTGATATGCAAGAGTACATATACATATTTAAGCAGCCACAAAATGGGAAAGATCAATAAAAAGATACTGGCCATGTCTTACAGTAATGGGATTACCCTTTAAACGCTTTAGTAAGCCATCAAAATGAAACGTTTAAGGAGATGCTCTTCCAATGAAATACCATAATCCGCTTTTGGGAGACCATCTTTGAGACAACTTTCGGCAGCTGCGTCTCCTTTTTGGCTTCCTTTGCTGGGGTCTCACGAACGTAGTGACCATCCTATATCTCACATGAGCGGAAGAGCATCCCCAGAGCAAACCAAATGGCGGAAGGGGAGGACCAGCTGCTCCTCTTTTAAATAATGTCTGCAAATTGTTTTGAGTGACAATAAGCGAAAAATCGATGCTCGGAAAGATGCAGCTTTGGGCCACAGCAACAACCGCCGCCGTTGGCTATAAATACGAGAAGTGCCCGCCGCCGATAAAACAGGAAGCAAATGTCAAAGTGATTGTCAACTCAAAAATTACGTATACGCATTCAATCGGATGCTTTTCCATTGATACGAGTCGAGTATCGCATCGTATCGTAGTTTGGCGAGAGATTGCTTTCGTTTCCGCCATCATCGGTGGGCCACAGCAGCGACAGCAACAGCAACAGCAACAGTCGATTGTCTGTGGCCTTTTCCATTTCATTTTCAATTTTTGCCTGCCAACACATTTTCACTCTTTTAAGTTTTTGCCTGCCCGTCGCACTATTTCCCTCATTCATGTGATGTTAATTTTATTGACTTTTCCAAAAGAGGATTCCAATGGTTCTGCCTGGCTCTTTCTCTGATTGGTCTTCATTCGTCTGATTCAACGTTTTGGCAGGTGAGAACAGGTGTTTCGTGTCTTGTGTCTTGTGCCTCGTGTTTGAGGATGTAATTGATTAGCTGCCGTGTTAATTGCAAAATCAACAGAGCCACAGAGCCACAGCCCCCTGAAGCCTGCGGAGGCTGTTGCTGCTGCTTCTATTGATGAGGAGGAGGTGGCACAGAAATGGGATGTTTTGGTGCCCCAAGAGTGGGGGGCTTGTGCCTAAGGGGCGTCAGTGTTGAAGGTGGAGAGCCCTTCAATTAGGAGTAGGCTTACAGGAGGCTTGACACTTGTCTTAATTATGGATAACATTTTTGTAAAATTACATATTCCATGTCAGTCAATAAACAAGCCAAGGATATGAGTATCTATTTCAGTATTAATTAGAGTAAACAGCAAATTAAGGGAAAAGTCAATGTTTGAATATGCAAATGTGATTAAGAAGTGCTCATTTGATGGTTGGAAAGGCATTTAAGAGACTCATAAATGGTATTTTGTATAAATTAAATTTCTCCTTAATGCAGGCGCTACCTCTGAGAGTCGCCAGAGAGCCACACGTCCCCTTGCTCAAGGATTATGAATATAAAAAACCAACTCAAAGCAAAAGCTACTGAATCAAGTACCGCTCTTTCTTGCTCTTAGCCCCCTCTTAGTCTTTTTAAGCCCTTCCAGCTAGCCCCTTAATTAGCTCACAAATCTATTAGTAGAAGAGTTTTCTCTCTCTTTTTCTTTCTCTCTGTATCTCTAGAAGCAATTAGCTTTATTAAAGCGCAACAAATTGTTGTAGGGGCTGTCCCCGTTGGCGGAACAGGTGCGTAAACAATGTGCTGAACGGACACTCCTGGCTCTGCTCTTTGATTTACACAAAGTATCTCGAAGATACAACTGCAACTACAACTTTAATTAGAAAGACAAACAGGCAGATTCCACAGCACGACAGGAGGTGCTTCCTACCCGTCCCCGTCCCATCACCGCACCATTTCCTTTGTACTCTTGAGAGATTTCCCCCCACAAAGCTTTCCATTGGACAAAGGGGAAAATATATATTAAAATATTCGCAGGCCAGGCGATGCAATTTAATTAAAATTTTAACTGGAAACAAAAACACAGACAGCCTTTAGGTCGCGTAATATTTTCTGAATGGGAGAATGTGGGGAAATCTGTCCTGAGACATTGAATATCCATCCTGCCATCGAAGCTGAAGCCGCTAATTGAATTTACGCCAACAGTCCCC